GGCGCTATGTTGAAGAATGGCGAAGTTAAACAGCTTCAAGATAACGCTCCCAACAGTTGTCTTCGAGGACCCGCAATTCTCAAGAAAAACAATATATATATATATGTCTACAATTGGTGCAAACGAACTAGGAGACAATTTGGGAACGCAGCCTGCCGAACATGGTCTTGCAGCCAAAGTGCACGCCAAGAACAAGTTATCTAATGCCAAAGGTCTTCTCCTTCTGCTTCGCATAATCCTTCAGGAAGCTTGCCAGAGCATCGCTGTTGTTGCAGCACGATCTAGTGAACCTGAGCTGACATGACGCGACGGGCTTGTCCTCTTCGAAAGCGAGTGCCAAAAAGCTGTTAATGGTTTTCGGGGCACAGCAAACATAAACCAATGAGGCAACTGGAGCAAGTTCAGTTCAATGGGCGCGCAACCGATTCTTCCGACTTCTCCCCCTTTTGGGTAAAGAATAATTTGCAACGCTGCGTCTGAGCAACAGTGTGAAGAACAAGGAAAATTTTTTGTAGAGGTAAAGATGGAAGCGGTGGGCGGCGCCGTCCAGCATCCAAGCCGTCAGGGATTTTGTCACCGCTGGGTTCGACATCACGTGTGGCACATACAGAGTCTGCGAGCCACGCCAATGAAATGCTCACGGCCGTGAAAGCCGCTTCCGGACAAGCCGCAGGAAAGCGATGGAGATATAAAATGCAAATTAAACCCAGGCTGATTTCTGGATGTTTCAAGATAAAGCAGCTCTCTAGCAATGATCTGATTGTGTAGCTGGATGGAATGTGAGAGCAATTGGAACACATGGCCGATAGGTCTCCGGTAATTGCCAGACTTGGAAACAATGGAAAGGTTGATCACGGTCCAAGCGCGACTGCGGCGGATCCCAACACACATCGCTCTACATCAATTCTTCAGGGCAGGGTTACGCATGTTCCGAATCATATTGCAGAGTTTCCCACATGGACATGGTAGGTATTTTGTTCTGACTCAGCTGAAAAATGGTAACGTTAATTGAAGTTCCAGCAAATGGAGAATTGGAGCTTAGGGCTGCAGTCTGCTGATTGATCAGTCAACATCAATGACCGCATCAATGAGAAAAGTGCTGAATCGTTGCGTGACCGTGCTTCACACAAACGCAATGAAAAAAGAGGGTTGTAGTGCTTTTGCGCCTCAACAGATGAGCAGTTCGACCAACCAGTCTCAGGCATCAACATATCAACAGAAGTCCATGCAGTTCGCACGTGGTGGCAGGATGTGCACAGTGCTGATAGTTGGACGCTTTGCCGCAGAGACATCCAAATCGCAGTAATATGCCCCCAATCTATTTGGACACTTAACACTCATGTCGCGCGAGAAGGTTGCTGCGGAAACATCAATATTGTAATATTCCCGCAGTTGTCCACGGGTCATCTGCAAGGCCCTTTAGAGAGCTTTGCTGACACGAGTTCCAAAATATGTGATGCCTGGCGCCGCGCACCTCCCCATTCTGGAAAGCTCACTCTCACAGACGGCGTTGGACAGCGAGGGCTGGTGGCCTTCTCAAACCTCAGCTGCTATGTGAATTCAAGGTTGCTGTTTGATACAGGGGCTCATCAAGTCAAGCCAACACAAACAAAATTGCAAAAGCAAAGGGAGGTCTGCAAAGGAGAAGCTGCTGGACAGAAGCGTCGTGCCTTTTGGCAACGGGGACTGTTGGGTTGAACGCTTCTGAGCGCTTTGCGCCTAAGTCATGCCCTTCCACCTGTCCCAGGAAGGAAGGCCAGCTCATGCCCTTTTCCAGAGCCTCCCACGCTAGCGTGTCACCATTCGCCTGTGGGATGATCGGCTTGAACACCACCGGTTGCAAGTTGAGGCGCTGCAGCCTCTCGAGGCTTGGAGGTGAATGCGCTGGGCCATGGCGGCCGGTGGGCGCTGGACATTCTGCGCGAAAAACATCCTGGAAGAGCCGACCCAAGCGGGTTGAAAGTAAGCCACCAGCTCAGCATCATACAAGGGAATTCCTTGACGAAGTGGTGTGTGCTCTGTATCTTTGTGACCTTGATGCAGGCCTGCACCAGTTCCGCCAAAAACGCCTAGCCTGAGAAACTTCAGCGTCCGCGCTTGTTCTTGTGACCATCGTCGGAAATCCACGGCCGTGAGCCAATCAAATCCAATCAACATGAGTCACATGAGAGTTTCAATTCACTAAACATACGCTGGTGCAAAACGGAATGGAGCGGTCTTTCATTACGACTGCACACTGCACTGCACAGTGGGGAAACGGAATGCTTGGGTGTCCCTTCGCGAAATTGCATGATTGGGGGCAAGCTATAGCAACATTGTGATACATTACGCCTGTATTGGGGGGCGGTTCGCTCACAGCCCACTTCGTTGTGGTTCCTCCATCATGCCAAAGCTCATGAGTTCCCCATTTGAAGCCATTATGATGTGTGTTCTTAGCTTTTTGCACTTGGGTTGGTACGGAACCCCTAGCTGCAAAGGTGAAAAAAAATATGGCAACCTTTAAGCCTATTGCGTGGCTCGCAATGACCATTCTCCTGTTGTGGACCTCGGAACTTGGTCCTGGCCTTAAACAGTGCGAGAGGGTTGTCGCCGAAACATCCAAAATCGTATGTTTCCCGCAGTTCTTTGACACTTGCCACTCATTCCATGCAAGAGGGTTGCATTTCGTGGTGACTCGTCAGCACCAAGAAAGAGAAGGGAAGAAAGCTAGGGAGAGAGAGAGAGAGAGAGACAGAATAAAGATAAAAATAAATACAATAAAGCATAATAAAGCAAGAAAGAGAAAGAGAAAGAGAAAGAGAACGAGAACGAGAACGAGAACGAGAGAGAGAGAGACAGATGTGCAAATGTGAAGATGTGAAGAAATGTGAAGATGTGCAGATGTGCATGTCTGGATATGTGCGGATGTAAGTCGTGATGATATGCAGTGCACCTGCTTTCTCTAGAAGAACATTTCACTCAGATGCTCTCGGGAAGAAGTGTCCGTTTTAACGAATCTCATGTCCGGCAGAACATGCCCGCTTCAGTCTGAGGTCCAACTTCCCGCTCCTGTTTAAAGAAGCTAGTAGCTTCTTGCTCCTAGTAGCGATGCCCTTGTTACTAGTAGCTTCTTGTGCCTAGTAGTAATGCCAGGAGCTATATACTAGTAGCGTCCTTGCTCCTAGCAATCGACTCCGGATCTGAAGATCCGCGCACAAATGTCTCTTCATTGGCTTCCCTTCTTGTTACTATCTTCTTGCCACTAGTAGCGATGGCCTCCAACCTACTTGCGATGGCCTCCACCTAATAGCGTCCTAATAGGTATGAGTGTGCTGTGATCCAGTCTACGGCTACAGCGTTTACATACGTTTACGGTTCCATAGTCGCAAACCCACCTTGTCGTCTTGCCTATATACTTCCTTGTTTCTGTGTCACATCGTGCTTTTGTGCCTGTTGCAATTGCTCGCATCTGTGACTGATGCAACTCCCGGCACGTGTTCACGTGTCTGTGCATTAATATGTGCATACCCTACTGCTGTTGTCACTGTGTTTGCAACACAATAATCGATGCTGTTCTAAGGACACGACGGCGCCACAAAAGCCGTCTCCATGGTGTGGCGAAAGAATCCCAACAAATGCCCCCAAACGCAACGCCGCCCGTGGCGCCCGAGCTTTGAGGGGAAGCGGCATCACCAAGACGCAGCTTTTCGTCCATGTTGACACTATTACCTTGTCACTTGAGGCCAGAGGGGGTGAACGAAAGCTAGCCGGGCTTCCGGTGGTCTGCTGCTGGTGCTGCTGCTGCTGGTGCTGCTGCTGCTCTGCAGGCGCCGGGTCGTCTGCTGCTGCTGCTGCTGGCGCTGGGTGGTCTGCTGCGGCTGCTGCTGCCGCGGCGTTGGGTATGCTGCTGCCGCTGCTGCTGCCGCCGCTGGGTGGTCTGCTGCTGCTGCTGGTGCTGCTGCTGCTGCTGCCGCTGCTGCCGCTGCTGCGCTGGGCGCTGCAGATGCTTGGTGTGCTGCAGCTGCTTGGTGGTCCCGCTCACCGCGCGCAGGGGGGAGTCGAACCGCGGGGGGGGGGGGTCCATAAGATTGATTTAATCAATCATTTGAGGTTTCTGAGGTGCGTCCACCCCGTCACTTAACTTGCTAAAGCAAGAGCAACTCCAGCTAGCTAAGGCTAGCTTTCGTGATTAGTAGCTTCTAGCTACTAATAGCGATGCCCTTGTTAATTACTAGTAGTAGCGATGCCCTTGTTACTGATGTTGACAGGTAAGAATACTCATGTCTCTGACCCACCAGGAACTTGCCCACAAAAATTATTGCCCAGACTCGGTGACCGAATGATGCCCTTGTTTCTGCCAATCTCATGCTTCGTCTTTCCTTTGATTTCATGGTTGTTTTCCAGTCCTTCCTTTGCCTCTCTGTTGCGTTCTCTTCATTTCTCTCAACAGCTGGATTTGAAAAACCAAGATTCCCACCAATTGACCTTTTGGCAAGCACTTTCTCGGAGGAACAATTGCCCAGCAAAACTCCAGCAAAACTCGGCTTCTGTGCTAATATTATGTGCAAATTGTAAATGTAAAAACACAAACTGCTTTCATTTGCAGTGCTGCCTTCTTTCGGACGCTCTTTCTCTTCCCACCCAGAACATCCCAGAACCAATATTCCAGTGCACTTCTGAAGGAGAAATCAGGACCCTGTGTCATGCGTCCATTTGTGTCATGTGCGATCTGGATTGATGGAGCCACTGTCGAAAGATGGGACCATGGCGGCCATACCTAGTAGCGTTCTTGCTCCTAGTAGCGATGCCCTTTGTTCCTAGTAGCGCCAAGTGCTGGCGGACCTTTTCTCACTGCTGCGTTTTTTTCTTCGGATGGCATGAGGAGGAAGGGAGACCCAAGCTCAACAGGGAGGATCAAATAAAGCTCCAATTCCATTGGCCGTCCAATAAAATTACAAAGACCATGTGCATACGCGGACCATGTCCAAGAATTTGCTGGCTTTCCTCTGACTAAGTGAGGTCCCAAGGACTCGATGAAACTCTTCCCGATCCAGCTCTCGATCTCCCTCTTCGCCACTGTTCAAGAGAATCAACTCATTGAGTCGCTACTTGCGGAGACGCGAGCTCAGCTCGAGCAAATGCAAGATGTAAACAGTTGTTATGGAAAACAGGACCACGGACAGTCCAACAAAGGAATTCAATCGTGTGATCAAGTGCATCCCTTAGATTGCCGTCAACTTGGTGCTTTGAAGCTGGCTATGCACAGGGGGTTGTCTCCGCTCCACGGGTGAACCTCCGAAAATCAAAACGAAGGCGCAAAAACGAACACCCTTGCCTTTCAAAGCTGCGTAGCACACGTTCGGTCCAACGTTGGTGTCTTTTTGTACCTTCGTTTCTGCTGGCTCTTAGCAAAAGCGACAAAGAGCTGCAAGCTTGTCCAGCCAGGAGAGTTCCTGGCACATGACGTTCGAGCCACACGGCACGTGACTTCGTCAAAGCCGGTGGAGTCGCAGCAGTTCATCATCAGCAGGATCGGTATTTTCAACAGCTTCCACAGTCTCCATGCTAAACAAGTTGAGTGGAGGATTTCGCAAGAAGTAAGGCTACAAGGTCAGTCCATCCTCGATGCTATTCATATCTATGTTTTGTTGTTTATCATTCTGTTTCAAAACTCGGCGTCCAATCCACCCAAAAAAATCTACTCTCATGGTTCAGGTATGTTCAGTGCTCAAGAACCGAGGTCGGAGCTCTGCCAATCTTCGCCAGCCGAATAGTTACTGCATTCCTCCAGAACGACTGAAGCAAAGAAGCGAAGGTTGGAGCGAGAATCAGCGCTTCTCTTGATAAATATACAGACCTTACATGCAATGACTAGAGGGAGGGGAATGATGTCTTTGAGACAGGAGAAATGTTCGGATAAAGATGCAAAAGAATATGTGCCAATAATGCTACGAAAGCCCTGCAGCAGTATCAGCAATATTTAGCAGCAGAATTGGGTTGTCAAACTGTTTGTTTGTCTCAAACACCACTGACACATTGAACTCAGCAGGTGCATTCTGAGAAACCCGGAACAACTGACCCTTGAAACTGGAGCCGAACAGAATAAGATCCTTTCGATTGGCTAACCGGTTTTTTTCCTCGCCTCGTCTCCTTCTACCCTTCTCTCCCTCAAGGACTGACCCTCAAGAAAAGGTGTGTTCATTTGTAGTGTTTTATTTTGGGGTGTTATTGCTTTCAAGCCACCTGTGCGCTTCGAGCTCTTCAACGTCTGCTATGACCTGCACGTGGTCAACAAGAATCAAAGCAGAAAGCGGGTCTGAACTCAAAGGGACTGACTGAAGTGAAAGTGCTTAAGTTTAGATGTGTGCTTTACACGTACAAATGAACATGCTGTTGCATCCTCATATTCTGCCAAGTTTGCCCAGTCCCAGCCTCGACATGGGGTCCTACTCTCTTCAATCCGGCAGGTGTGAGCTTTTGTACAGTGACATACTTCAAATACCTCCACAGGCTGTTGACATGTTGGTCTTTGGGAGGGCAAGGGATGAACCGGAAAGGCCTGCATCTTGGGGTACCCCATCAATCCCCATCATATATTTCATGTTGAGCGCTAGCTTGTTCTGCAACTCTAAGTAAGCCTTTTTAACGGGACTTTGATTGAAGGACACGCCGCTTGAGGAAACCATGACCATGACATCAAAAGCCTTGTGCATTGTGCTCTTGTTCTCTTGGGCGGATCCATCTGGTTGTGAGGGAACTCTGTTTGCAAGAACGGAGATGTTGCAACCTCCTGGCTCCTTACAAGCCTTACTACTTTCGTCTTCGGTCACTTCGACGGTTGGCAAATAAGGTCTATAAGATCTGTGGTCAACTTAAAGTGTCAGGAGAGGAGGTTAGGGAAGGTGGAGCTCTTTCTCTCTCTCTCTCTCTCTCTCTTTCTCTCTCTCTCTTTCTCTCTCTCTCTCTCTCTCTCTCTCTCTCGTCACAACCCTACGCTGAAAAAAGCAGCTGAACTCGGCAAGAACCTCCCAGCGGGAGGCGCACGTGTCTGTGGAGACACCTCCAAACTGTCTAGCATACCCACTTGTTGGCAAACCTCAGTCTGAACAAAGCGGAGTTGAACACAAGAGGGGGAAGCTACTACAGCCTTCTAGGCACTGTTGCGGATGTTCAGAGCTTCTCTTCCAAACGCGAACATCGGCTGCAACATCTTCATAGCAATGCTGGATGCTAGATGCTGTAGCACTGAAAAGCTTCGACCTGCAAGAATAGATTTGTAGAGTAGTATAGACAGTATAGACTGAAAAGTTGCTCAAGTGTGTGAACTCCTCCTAATTCGCGAAGTTTCTTGCAGAAAATTATATAATTGCAATGCCCCTCAGGTGCCTACAATGGTTTGTGCCGCTGGCATAGTCTCCACAACTCTCCGGCGCAAAGGCGCCTCAACTTGAACTTATGACGCGCAGAAGCACGCCGCTTCCCAGTAAGAGTCCGCACAACATGGCTGCTGGATCTGGATCTCATATGAAAATTTGTGTAACATCGTCTCCCAACACCCAGGCATCTTGGCAGTTGCTCGGTTAATGTCTTATTTCCCGATGGAGAGAACCTGTTCAATGAAAACGAGAGTATTTTGTTTCTGTTCACTAGATACTGCCAGGAGTTTTTGCTCACGTAGATTCTCTGCTCTCTACTGTCCCTGGAGTGCGCAACCTTGTAAGAAAATGTATCACATGTACTTGAACGTGTAAAAATTACTGAGTCACTGAGAGATAGCTGAAACATTGACAAAGCGACAAAATGCTGTAGTTCAATCACTCACTGAGTCCCCAAACCCATAAAAACAGAGCCTGCGTTGACCACTTTTTCTAGGTACGCCTGATCGCGTCGTGCACTCATGTAGGTGAAGACGGTCTTTCCAAGCTCTGTTTCAGCTGATATTTCGATTATTTTGGATTCTTTGACTAGGCATGAGAACTCTTTGCCATTAGCATAAACAATCTCACCACACTGAAATTGTCCCAGTTGTGGCGGCACTCATGTCGCTCGTGGCGGCTCGCAGTAGTGATTCAGGTGAAAATTGAATCCTGCTGTACTTGACTCAATCGAGCCCTGCCTCGGGGTCTGCCGTTTGAACCACAAGGTGTTCTGGGCCATACCTGGCTGCGTTCAGTGTCACCCCTGAAGTGCTTCAAAGATCGCAAGTTTGTGCTCTGTGAAACCTTTGGAGCATCTAGGCAGAGCGCACCCGTTGGAGAAGCTCATGGCAGCGTCTAGGGAGTTGACGACGATGACAAAGCTCTTGCTCAGAGCTTGCTGTGCCAAGGACAAGAAGTGTTGCTTGCCAAAATTGCAACTTTGGTGTGGCAAAAGGATATCTGAAAGAATGGAAAGTTGAATCAATCGCAATGGCCTCCAACCTAAGAGCGATGGCCTCAAACCTACGAACCTACTAGCTTAAGTTTGGTTGCGGATTTTTAGCGGAATATTTTTGTTTTTAGTGGGATGGTGTTTTAAGGCGTTAGTCTTCTGTAGTTTTAAAGAGTTTCCAACTAGTTCTACCTGGTTTTCAATTAGTTTTAGTTATTGTTTCAGTGTTATATTTTTTGGATGGGGTTTAGTCTTTTGTAGTTTTCATGTGATTTTGGTTAGTGGTTAGTTCCTCTAATATCTATGTTAACTGTCCTTCAAAAAGGTTGTTGTCCTTTTCACGGTTCTTCTAAATCTCATGTTTTTTACTAAACTGTCCTCATAAGTATCCCTTTACATTTGCTTTTGAATTCCCTTTTACAGCTCCTTGGGATCTAGATAGCTATACCAGAAACTATTTCTACCCTAAAAAATTACACCAGCATAGACCCAGATAGCTAGGCAGAATCCCACGACCTGTTGACACGCGACTGGCTGGCCTGCACAGCCAGCTTACGGCACCTCCACAGCGCGCACAACCAGCTGACACCAGCACCGGCGCGCTTTGCCAGCTGACAACACCGGCAGCGGCCCGACCAGCGCCGCCGCCCGTCTTAAACGCGCGCGCTCAGCCAGCTCACAGCACCAGCACCCAGGACCGCAACACCCCCACCAGCGCCGACACCCTTTCGAAAGCGCGCGCGGCTCACTCTTATTTGCAGTAAGAACCCCATAGCTATCCCTACTTGGGAATAACAACGTATGATCTTGCGCGCATAAGTTTATGCGCACAAAAAGTATGCACGCAAACAGGCCCAAGGCCAAGCAGTATCCAGCACCACGATATTGACTTTGTAGCATTCCTGAAGCAACGGTCTGAAGAACGATAAGGCCGTATGATCTTGCGCGTATAAGTTTATGCCAAGGCCAAGGCCAAGGCCAAGCAGTACCCAGCACGACTATTGTGTGTGTAGCATGCTGAAGCACGCTGAAACAATGATCGGTTGAGAGCCTGACGTTGCGCATAGAACATTATACGTACAAAAGTACGCGCGCAAACAGTACAGCGGTTGACACAGCTGTCGGCCAAAACAATACCTGAAGAGTGTAAATACCCCACAGCGCTAGTATACGAAGACCCTCAAGCGACACACCGTATGATGTTGCGTGCATAAGTTCATGCGGCCCATGACTGCTGGCACTTCGGCTGTTGGTCGCCCTTCACTGCTACAAGCGGCAGGTTGCCACCCTTCACTGTCAAGAAGCGGCGGTTGCTTTCACTTCACTGTCACATGCGGGCACCAGTACCGAGCACCGGCACGCCAGCTCACGGCGCCCGCACCAGCACCCAGCACCGGTACCCAGCACGTGCACAGCCAGCTCACAGCACCAGCACCAGCACCGGCACCCGG